GCTTTTAACTCAATTAGCTTCCTAGTTTTCTCACAAGATTTTGGAAAACGATCGATCTTTTTCAGCCAAAAAAGTTATTCAAACACTTTTCTTTTCATTTTAACTGTAGACAACTTTGAGGTTTCATGAAACTGTTCTATAAAGTATTCGGTAGAAAAGCGTTTCAGCTTTCATTTAAAAAAATATTTTTAAAATATTTTTAGTTTTAATGAGTGGAAAACTGAATTTTAATTGTTTATCTAAAACAATTATTTATTGGAAGATCAAAATTTTTCATTCAAAACTAAACTGAAGTTGAACTTCAAATATATCGTAAGGAAGGGCGTGAAAAACTCTACAAGCTGATATTAATTATACCGCTCACTAATAAAAAAATGTGAATTTTAGTTACTTTTTTAAAAATTTTTGAAAATGACATGATTTGAAAGAGACGTATTCTGATATGTAATATTCATACTTAAAATTTTCTTAATCAACGTGGCATAAAGATAAGAAAAGTTGCAAAATGATGAGATATTCCCAACTTCTCTTCGATATACTCTGACAGAGTTACACATCATTCTTTATTATGAAGTTATCTGTCTCAGAATAGACACGTTATTCACGTTCTATTGGCTGTTGTCATATACCCTCAGCTGTATACAACAAAGAAGAACCCAAGTAATTTCAAAAATTCAGTTTTCCACTCATTAAAACTAAAAATATTTTAAAAATATTTTTTTAAATGAAAGCTGAAACGCTTTTATACCGAATACTTTATAGGACAGTTTCATAAAACCTCAAAGTTGTCTACAGTTAAAATGAAAAGAAAAGTGTTTGAATAACTTTTTTGGCTGAAAAAGATCGATCGTTTTCCAAAATCTTGTGAGAAAACTAGGAAGCTAATTGAGTTAAAAGCTAATATTTATAGCAGATATGACTGAGACATGTGTATCTATCTAATAATGAAAACCCGATCAGCATCCGACTTTTTGTTCATGAAGTATTCAAAGAGAAAGTTTGAACTTTGCCAATGTTCGAATACTGACTGTATGCATTTTGACATCTACGAACGATAACAAAGCTTATACGTAAGATGTTTGGTAACCTGTAAAATAACCTATCCTTCTGTCTTGTTCAAGAGTAATAAATTGGATAATATGCATTTGTTTGAAGTGAGAGAGAGAGACGGAGAGAGTGGGTGAAGAAAAAAGAAAACAAACGTTATGACGAGAGGAGAATAAAAGCTTGAATTTATAAAATTAAAAATACATGCACATGTCTCAGTACTTATTTGTATATACTTTATCGGTTGACTATTATACTGGAACAAATTCAACGCTAATTAATGCATATTAGTTGGATTCTTTTATCTACAAACAAAGATCACTTACTCACACATTATCCGTCCTATATTTATTCTCATCTTCGTTTTTTCAAAATAAAAAAAAGTACCATAATGACTCTTATAGTTGGTATTAATGTGTATAAAGTGCTTTTTTTTTTGCTTTTTTTAGTTTTTTGTTGTACCTAAACAAAAAACACATTTGAGACATTAAACTGTTGACTTAATATTATATATATATATATATATCTATCTATCCACCTGTATCATCATAAACAGAAAAGTAGAGGAGAGTGAGCGAGAGAGAAAGAGAGAAGACAAATATTTAGACGATATGTAGACGAGAAGATGAAGATTAACATAGATTGATAGAGATATATATTTTGATGAGTTTGAAAATACTCTTTTGCGTGTGTGTGGATGTGTGCTACTATCCGCACGTTGTCAACATAAATATCACATATTTTTCAATTGATCCGGATAACCATAAATAAAAAATGTTAAAGAGACGACAACTACCGTCATTTTCATCATTATTGTTACTTTATTAAAAATAAAAAAGAAATAAAATTTATAATTTTAATAATAAGTTCATAAAAATATGGTAACGAGTGTTAATGATAATAGTAACAATAATGATAATGATGCCGATACTAACACATATTTACCTGTACATCAAAATTTATTGTTATCCAATTGTTGTCCAACAAAACCAAAACGTTCAAAACTATCATTTCATTCATTTTCAAAATCAAGACGGAAATCATTTAATTTAATAGCACACATGAAAACAATAAAGACTGATAATAAAAAAAGACATAGAGGATTTTGTCGTGCATTATGTTGTACAGGTAGGCAAAAGTAAATGTTGGTGGACGATAATAAGAAATCCCTTTTTTTTACCACTTTTACAGCGCACGCTGTGGTTTTTTAAAGTTATAAAACATTTAAGATGGAAAATTGAGATAAGACAAATATATTTTACAAGGTATAGATAATAAATTCTTCTTATCTTCTATATGGAAGAGAAAATTATTTGATTGATATAGACTTGCTAGATCAGAGTTATTTGTATATGAACATGAGACACAGAACAGTTTAGTGGTAGATAATAGTCTGATATGTAATACATTCACTAGGGTTAAACATCATTCGTAGTGTTTTATATCAAATGCTTGAGATCTACTATATCGAAAACTATACTATTCAAACATAATGGTGAGAGTAAAATACTGTCTTCATATCTTCTACTGAGTGTGATTTTAATATGTTTCCTCTTAATATTTGTTTAGAACTTCATATTAGCGAAAGTCAATCAAGTGTCCATAGTATAAATCGAAATAATCTGAATTATACTCACACAACAACGGCATCGTCAACCGGCTTGACCAATGATTTGTGTTTGTATTCTTCAAACAACAGTAACGATGCTAAAACAACACCAGTTCATACACGAAAATCCCACTTAAATGATTTTTTAACTACTGCTCCCATTGGTAATAACAAGTCATCTCGACCATCGGTAAATGTTGTTTTATTACAGCATAAACAAGTAGCTTCATCATCTTCTCCATCTCAACATCTTTTCCAGCGTCCACTTTCATCACCAGCTTCATTACATCGTTCTCAAACTTATGTATTACAACCGCATAATAACAATAATAATAATAATAATGTTTCATCACCATCACGAAAAGAAAAAAACAGAACGCCAACTTTATCTGAGACAGAACAAAATGCGGTAAAAATTACGTCGATAACCGCACCATCATTAAAAAACTCTCTTATATCTGATCAACAACAGCATTCTGCTGTCGTCAGTAAACCACCATCGATACAATATTCAAACCATGAGAGGTTAAATAATAATAATTTTGTACCCCGAGCACAAATAAAAATCACCTCAGACTCATTGATGAACAAAACGATAAACTGTAATACTCGTACGTCACAAAATACATATAATCAACCCTCATCGAGCAGAATTCAAGCGAATCGAAATACAAATCAAAAAGTAAGTATCTCTTAGTTTAATATACTGATGTTGTTTGATTGCTCCATTCCACGAAACAATCCGATCAATTCTTTTAGATTCCTTCTCGTGTCACAAATGGTGTTTACCAAAATGTTGTTCCCATCTCTATTGTTCAAAATTCTCCAATATCTAACAATCGTTCATCTACTCTAAAGCAGTCACCTCGAGTACATTCCGACCACCAAAATCAAGTACGATCGCTGGTAGTAAATGATTCTCTCAGAGTACAATCACGTTATCCATCAGCAGAATCTCCACCATCGACTGGTAATCGACGACGTTACGATAAAACGAATATTTCGCTAGGGATTAATGGCGGTCGTGGTAGTCCGAAAACAGCAGAATTAAAATCTGTGAGCGCCCATGTGACACGAACGAAACACGTACCAACTACTGTAAATAAAGATCGTAATTCTCAAGTGATCTCCGAAACAAAAATGTCATCTACAAGAACTACGACTAGTACTAACGCATCATCATCCAACTACTCTTCTGTAGATAAAAAACAAACAGTTATCGATTCACTTCGTACAGCATCTAGTCATACGAAACAGCATTTATCTGATAATACTAAACCAAAGATCACTCAAAAAACTTCTCAATCACAAAGAGTATCAAATATTGATGAAATTATCATGAAACAACAACAACAAGAAAAATACAAAGTTGAAACTCCTCCGAAACCCCGTTGTTCGACACCCTCTCCAAAATTGATCACTCCCCCACGCGAAAAGACACCATCGACTGACAATGACGTCTGCGCTTTCTCATTACTCGAAAATGATGGAGATTATTCCGCATTCTCAAATGAAATATATCAGGATTCGTCAAACGAAGAAAAAAAGAACAGTTCGACACTAAACACTATTCTAAAACCAAGTATATCGGAACCGATATCAAAATTAAAATGTCAACAATTACGCCCATGTTTTTCGTCAGATGTTGTGCGTCCAACCATAACACTTGTGCGTCCTGTTCTCAGTAATGAACTGAAAATATTTAGTTATAGTTTAGATGAACATGACGTAACAAAAAAACGAAGTTTTGTTAGTGAAAATAAAGATTCGGGTTTTGATTCTCTTACCATAAATCGAACACATTCGACAACTATCATCGAAGATGAAACAAAACTGTGCACAACAACAATCACAAGTACGACAAATAACACATTAAATGATTGCATAACAAGTTTTTTATATGACGAAGAAGTCGACAGCTCTTCAGAATCATTTACAAGTTTACATATTCATACAAAAGATCAGCGTTTATTGTTTGTTGAAGAAAATCTAAAAGCGACGTATTCCATTGATACCGAGTATGGTAGACAAACCCCATCGCTCGGGTCCGAATCATTGTCATTTCTATCAGGTATCGTTCCCGATTTATCAACAGACAGTCTAAATGAAGATAAAGAACATGAGAGGAACGATATTGGTAACATAGCGAACGTAAGTGGAACAGACAATAATAATGAATATCTGTCGACGCTAGCTTCAACAGGAAAATCGACAGAAACTTATGGACCCTTAATGACATGGTCACGTATTAAATCTACTCGTTCATCATGTGAAAATTCATGTGACGATATTGATTGTTATTCATCATCAAATAAACGTCATAAAATATCATCATACTCAAGTAGAGAAACACTTGAGGGACGGAGATACTCAATAAGTCCACAAATGTATGACGGACACTATCGTAAACGGGACGTAAGAGTAGCCCCGAATGGACGATATTTTCTTTTGATTGATAGTAACAATAACAATGGTGATAGTTCATCGTCGGTTGAACGTTGTGGCTCAGATGAATTTCGATATACATCAAACTATGAGGACGACATATATCCAAGTAGCAGTGTTTCTCCGCCACTTGTACCGTCGTATCTTCGAAGAAAATCCGATGAGATACAGATTCGTTCTCAAAGTGCTGAGCCACAAGCAACTGTTTCAACAGCAGTTATTAGAAAAATTCGTTCCATACCCTCTCCTTACTCTTCTTCGAAAAAAGTACCAGATGCAGTACGCGAAACAAATCAAGGATTGTCGTCGACGTTAATAACAGCACCTAATGAGATATCGCATATTGTTCGAGCTACACCCGTTCAAGTTATTCTATCACCACCACCAGTAACAGATATAAAAAATAAAACGCCGCCCGAGCCATCGTTGAAAACACCTACGGATAGTCGACAATCGTTGAATAAAAAACCTGCAAGACGTCTGGTATTTCCATCACGTCTTGGTCGTATATTATTTTTTCGTCGTGTTTTATCCGATTCAGATATTTATCAAAAAGTATGTTCAAAAGAAAATGAAATTCGACATAATGTCTACCATTTAGACACAATTAGAGATTATTCAATGGAATATTATATGATAACGACGTTTGGATCAGATTCTCAATTAAGAGCATGGATGGATGATTATTTGTGTTTTCGGCCAGATGATGAAGAGAATCATGATGATTTTAATCGTATGACGAGTAGTAACGATGATGAAGAAGATGAACTGGAATTCAATCAACCAATGGGTGATGATGAACTCGACTGGTATAGTGAAGATCTTGAATCATTTAATATTTCGAGTCAATTGATGAGCGTGAATAGCGATGATAATGTCGAAGAATTTCTCCGTTGCCAACAAGTAAGTAGTTTAATGAAATGCTTTAGTTACTACTTACTCAGGACGTTAAAAACGGTCACATTAACAGTCTATTAAATCCTATTTAATAAATTATCGTTAAATGACATTCTTCAGCCATCTAACACAATTGTTCAGCCGTTTTAAGGTACTATGACTGAGAACATATTAAATCATGAAGGTGGGATTTTCTTAATATTTTCTCACAATTAGAGACTGTGTTCTCACGGCACATTTCGATGATTTGACTAATCGAGAAGGAGAAACTTTTCTAAGTTTTTCAAACAAATCAGTAGTGTTTACTAGTAATGATAGGAAAACCAAAGAGAAATGAATGAAGTGACTAGTCAGTTTTTTGAAATGCCTGGTTTTTCGCTGTTCCTTTAAGAGTCTCAAAAATGACTGTTAGTATCTTGATTACAATCATTAAAATACAGTTTATCGATACACACAGTTCGACGCTTGTCTTTCGACTGTTTATAACAATCGAAAAAAAACGAGTATCTAATTGCGACTCTAAACTGTCTAATTTCAAACCGCTGACTAGCTGTTAAATGCCCTTTTTTTAATTATCATCGATAGTTAAGTAATGACAACAATGTATGCAGCATCTGGCAGTTTTTAACAGTTATTTGCCTATTAAACACCTGTTTTTGATACTCAACAAGCACTAAATATGGGTGATGATGAAACTAAAATAAATATTTTTATTTTTAGCTTTCTGTATCAAGTCTGGCTACGTCAATTGAATCATCTAGTTCTGCCGGATTTGAAGTGGGTGTATCATCATCTTGGCCAATATCAACAACTGAACAATCTAAAATTTATTCAAAAAAGAGTACTACTCCTTCTGTATTCAATCGTTGTCCTCGTCAACAGAACGATGTATCAACAGCAACAAATGTCGAAATGACTAATATCGATGAACAACGTTCTATACTTCAAGAAATTTTAAACTATTCCTGGGGTATTCGAGAAGTAAATAGCATATCATCTAGTGTATCGTCAACAAATGATTATTTAAAAGAACAACAACATTCAAAAATGAAATCAAAAATAAATAATAAAAATGATAAGAGAACATCGATGTGTTCTCTAAGTGATCCGGCATTAAATAAATCGAATATGTTTGATACGATAGATACCACTAATTCATCTATCGAACAAAATTCCTATTTAAAAGATGATCAATTTCGAACAGATTTTTATTATTTATGTCCATTGACTCGTACATCAAGTTTTCCAAAGATGTCAAAAGAACAAGATTTGACTACAAATAATAATGACGATATCAAAGTACAACAAAATAATGAACAACAAATGACTAATATAAAAACAACAAGACAATCTAATAATAATATTTAGTTTATATCGTTAACATAGAATAAATTGATTGTGATTATTATTTAACTGACTGTTAAGCAAGCATATCATCTTTTCAATCTTTATTTATTAATTTCTGTGCGTACTACTACAACAATTTTTCTTTATATTTCATTTCATTTTGTTTTTTTAGATCATATTAGGCTATTGTTTTTCTTTTCATACATTTGTGTTTCTTTTATTTCTTGTTGTATACACACGTATACAGTGCTCATACCGTTTTTTCATTATTTAAAATTCAAATTTGAGCCAGATATTTCGAACAATATATGTTGCGGTTTTATTTTCCTTCTCTTAATATTTATTTTTCCGTTATGGATAGATATAAAAACCAAATGAATTTTTATTATATATTGTTTGAAAAAAAGATAGAACGAGAATACAATAACTATTGTTATTGTCGTTGTTAATTCTTTTTTAACAATTCACTTTTCTAGAAATGAACTAATAGTCTTTCGATTTTGTTGGTCAGTTATTGTTAATTATGATCATTACTGATATATTCAATAAAAAATGATTATTATCATCATGTTTTTATCAATTTTAATTGATAAATAATGTTTTTAATACGACGATAAATGTTCTCGATATTCTGATTAGTAGAAATTGATAGTTATTGTTCTTTTCACATATTTCACATACTTTTAAATTCTATTAGAAAATGATACTCTCATAAATTTATCATTTCAATTTTAAAAATGTCAATTTTCAATGTAACCATGATTATTATTTGACTTGTCATCTATATGCATAATGCTGTGGTGGATTTTAATTTTTCAATCACTATAACAAAATACGTAAGTGGAATTCTCAGTTCTTCTCAGTGTTAATAGACAATCAAATTTTTGATTATGTTTCAAATATTTGTCTATTTTTCTTAAAAAATTTGTTAAATAAAACTATTTTAAAAGTTTGAACAGAAAAAAAATTTTATATTTATTTTAAAAATATTTAATTTTTATACATAAAAATATTTTAGTCATACTTTTTTCAAATATTTTCTTTATTCTGATCGTTGACTTCTTCAATTTCTTTGATATGGTCATCATTATTAAGTGTACTATTATGATCTATATCATCAGCAAATATATCATTAAGTAATTTATCAGCAAGTTCTAAATAATATTAAATTTGAATTATCAAAACAAAAAATTAAAAATTTTAAAAATTTAAATCTTACCATTAATATTAATTTCTCCATCATTATTTAATATATTCGGTAATTTAATTAAATCATCAATTTCTTCATCTGACAACGGTTCACCTAGTGTTGTCATTAATTTTCGAAATTCATCTGAATCAATATAACCATTTTTTTCTTTATCAAATATTTTAAATGCTGCTAAAAGTGCATCACGATTATTTACACTGACCCATGATTCTTGACATACCATCAGTACATCTTCAAATGATAAATCATTTTTTCCTTGAATAAAAAAAGAAAAAAGAAAAATATCTAATTTAAATGACAAATGTGTACTTTTCTTAGAAAAAATATGAAAGTTATAGACGAAGTATTCTAATATTACACTGTACAATTTGATTTTATCAATAAATTCACTTATTTTTCTTGCCTTCTAATGAAAAATCTTCAAGTCGTTGCTGGCAGTCCTTTGACGACGGATTATAACCGAGTGCTTGTAGAACTTTTAATAGATTATCAACACTAATATTGCCATTATCATCTTGAAATTTTGAATAAATATTTTGCATTCCTATCAAATTAAGAGAGAAAGATGTCGTTCTTTCTAAATCATCATTTAGAAGTAATAGATGAGGCATACGTCGCAAATATTGATCCTCATCAATTGGTTCATCACGATATATTTCTTCTTCATCGTTGACACGTTGTTCTTGATTCACTGCTTCGCCATCCGTCTACAATTCTCAAATTTTAATCAAGATTCTAAAAAACCGAAAATTCTCGGGCTTCCAAATGAAGAGAAACAACTATCAAAATCACCATTATTCTTATTTTATTATTTTTGATCTCTCATACCTTACACAAATAACATTTGAAAATCTTACCATAATTCTACGATTCGTTAATTTAAGCGAACAAACAAATAATAATAAATTATTTGATTGCTAAATACTTAAAAAAGTCAGTTTTTAATTTATTATGTATACTGAAAGGAAGAACGACAAATTATAAAGAAAGTTAAAGTTTCAAGTAGAAGAGAATAGAGAAAAACAATGAAAGTAATAATCTAATACTTTTGATGTTGCTTGTAAACCGAATGAAGTAACACTTGTATTCGTAATTTTATTCTCTTGTAACTTTTACCCAATATAATAAAAAAAATGTATGTAGATATATATATATATATATACATACCTTTCGTATTATTAAGGACTCCTGCGTCTTATTTTTCAAAAAAGAAAAGAAAAAGGAGAGAGAATTACGTTCAAAACTGGCAAATCATTATAAAATAAGAAAAAAAATTAAACAGAAATGTTTATGAATCTAGACGCCATGTAATAATATATAGTTGCTTTTTCACTTGTCGGGTCTTGAAAAAGATAAGATTTTTTTTGTTGAAAAAGAAACATCTAATTACACTCTGCAATTTATGATGTTTAACTAGGGGAAAATCTCTCTATAAAGGAAAAATAGATATGCACCGGCCTGACTAAAGTAGAAGCCACTAATTTTAAATACAAAGAATACCATATTCTATAGTACAACGTTTTTAATAAAAAGAAACTATTGGTTAGCCATGTTTGGTCAAGAAACTATAGATACAATAAAATTTATAGGCAACTCGCTCATTTTCTGACATGTTTTCTTTGAATAATTTCAAAATTCTCTGACCAGAAAAGGTGAAAATATTGTACAAAATATCTGTATTCATTGATCTGCATATGCAGTAAAACTTTTGGATCTTTACGACGTACCGATGCAGCTCAACATCGTTTTGTAGTCAGAAAAATGCTCGTATGTTATGTACGCTCTTTTCATATATAACAAATAAAGACACAAACAGTCACAATTAACTTTACACATCAGAAACTGATGAAATCTATTTTAAGCCTTGTGACAACTAGACTGCAATATTCCAAAAAAACATTTTATACTTTTGAAGTTTGAAACATAGCGGTGGGATGAAACATAGGGAGTGGGGGTGTCAAACTCCTCCCCATAAGGGGAACAGTCCTAGTTTCGAGACTTGTCTGTCTCTTATAAAGATTTTGTCTTCTAACTGCCTCCAATATGCAGCCTAAACTATAGCCAAAATACTGACCATGGGCTACCGAAAAAACATGTTTTTCTACTCACACGTCCAACACTAACGCGGAAAACTTCTGGAAACGGCCGCTTGGTTCAACTCAATGAGTTATCCAAAACCACCAAAAATTTTTTTTCGACCTTGGAGATCTGAGCTAAAAAGCTTTGCAAGTCGCCTGTTGCTTGTATTTTTCACGCAGTATAGTTGGATTAAACAGACAGATAAGCCTAATAATGCTTAAGAGCATACTTTTTTCAATATATCCATCTTCTGTATCAGTTTTCACATTACGTCGGCTGTTGATAGTAATTCAAAGAGTGATCAAGCTGCCGCTTCATAGTGAGCATTGATGTGAACATTACAAAAAAAAACCAAAGATACAAGTTGCAGGAAGATAAATTTGAATATCACGGTATAAGATTTATTTTTGAGTGACGATTATGGTGCAAAAAACTGCCACAGTTCAAAATCGAGAAAAATGAATGTTTTATCTTTGGAAAATATTAGTCAACGTTGAGGATAAACAACGTTGTAGATTCTGAAAATATGATCTCTTAGACTCCTACCGATAAATGAATTTTATAACCTAAAACTAGAATTGTCGAATTATAAATTTATCTTTTTTAGTATTTTGTTAGAGTTTTGAGCATGTTTTCTTCACACATTTGCTCTTCGAACGTATTTCTACAAAAAGTAACGCAAGACTAGCACTCAACACATAAAACTGAATCAACTCGTGCATGAAACAATAATTTCTAACAGAAATAGTTCTACTTGGAAATTTTTGTTGTGAAGTCTGCTCAAGACAACTTTTTTTAAAACATTTATGTTAAGAGGATTTTATTACTATTTAAAGAACGATAATAATCTATAAGAAAAAGGTTTATTTAAGAAAAACTATGATCTCCGTATCATAAGCCGAAATTGGCTGGCTATTTTGAGCATTTTTGTTCAGTTGACTAGTATGCAGAGTTGCTTTCATTCTTCCTAACATTCAATTACTGCCAGTAATAGTAAAACGTCAAATTTATTCTAAAAAACGTTGAAAAAGTATTGTTATAAAAAGAATATAGTTAGAAGAAATATATAAAAATTGTTTTTTTAAATATTACCATCAATGAATACGGGATTACTCAGAATGTACTGGAAAATATTCATCAATAAATAAAATTGTATTAACAAAGCAATCCGATGCCACAATGACTTCGGCTAATGCATGATTACTATCATAGGTAAAAAGTTTAACAGGAACGTTTCTTGCTTTTAAATTTTCATAATATCTAAGACCAAGATTTATTGGTACACGACGATCTTTTTTGCCTAATTGTAACAGCACCGGTGTTTTCACATTATCAATGAAATGAACAGGTGATTGTTGAATCATAGAACCTTTCACTACATCATAACGATTTCGACCATTAATAAAATCAAATTGGTCGTTAGATGTCTGTGAGAGGACCCAATCAGGTATATCGGTTACAGTATATTGAGCTACTAAATCGGTTACTGGATTACGCATCACTGCTAAATCATAATCTGCCGGATACTTTCCGATTAGAGATGATGCAAGATAGCCACCATGCGAACCACCACATATAATAACCGGACGCTTTTGATCAGGTGCTAATGATACACAACGTCTAATAGATTCGTAACAATCTAATACATCGACTGTCCCGATCTGACCAAGTAGTTTATCGATGGATGCTACAAAAAAAAGGCTAGGAAATTAAGACCACTACATTTATTAAAAGACCCAACTTGCCTTGGCCAAATCCTGTTGAACCTCTGAAATTAATGTAAAGTACATCAAAACCCATGGCTATGTAAGTTATTGCTCCAATGTAATAATCAACTTGTACACTTGCATTTGGACCACCATGAATCACGACAAATAATGGTTTTATACCAGCCGATGTCGATTTTGCTTGTAAATAGATACTTTCGACTGGCAATTTTTCATTATCGGGAAAAAAACGATCAATTGACCACTTAAGTTGAATATCTAATTTATTTTCTGTGATCAAATGCCATTGTTTTGTATTTAGATCATACAAATAGAATTTAAAACTTGTTTGAAAATCAATAACACTTGCTAAACAATATGATTTATAAACACCCAAAATTCGTACAGATGTATTATTTAATGGTGATGGTAATGATTGTAATTCGTTTTTTTGCATATCATAAATGTAAGCAACTTCTTGTGTTCCATTATACGTGCGTAAAAATAAATAACGACCATCGGACGTAAAACATTTACGGGGTGGTGGTAAATAAAGACCTTTGAATTGTTCGTCAAATTTGGCTTTAAATGGCTCACTGGAATTTTCATAGGTAACACTAGAAATCAGAACATACTGTTAATTCAAAGTTAAATAAATGAATACAATATAAACAGATGTCAATCTAATATAGAGAATCGAATTCTTCTTTAAAACTCGACTACCCATTAGAAAATTTGATTATACATACGAACCTCCAAACATGTCTATTTTCATCTTGATAAAAAAGATTCGTCCAGATGCGCTTCTTGAAAAAGCGAGTATTATTGAGAAAGCAAACGCGTCTACGAGTGTTTTAGAGCTTCTAGGCCAGTTTAAAAGAGAATCTGAGTTACGGACGCACTTACACGCGATTTTTTCCAAAATAGAAAAGAAAATGCGTCCAGACGCGCACACAATCGAAATGTTTCTAATTTTCTACTGATTAGCGCATTTACTTCTGTCTATTTTTGAAAAAGTTTGGTCATTCTTTCAGACGTGTCTGAGAGCGTCACATTTTTTACACGAGATAAAAGTGAGATAAAAAACGCGTCCGAGCGCGATTATCACGATCATGACGGGATCAAAAATCTATCTAAACTCATTTGAATATACTAAATAGAATTTGAGGCGCGTCTAAACACAAATATAAACACCTTTTGTTTGTCGAACGGTATTAAATGAGTGCGTTCCAAGGAGAAAAAGCCACTTTAGATAGCGTTTCCACTTTAAGTGACTTTTTTTACTTTTAAGTTACTTTCCCTACAAAATTTTTTTTATCGGCACTTGTATCACATCGGTGTGGAATATGTTTTGTTTGGCGCGAATGCCTACTGGTGCCAAACAAGTAAATTTTTCTGCACTAGTGCACATCGATGCAGTACAAGAGCTGAGAATAGAGTAAAAAAATTTTCAGCTTTCGTACTGATGTACATCAGTGTCAGAAAAATCTATTATTCTTGCACCAGTGCGTACTCATGACAAATTTTGTTTACAATCAGCGTTTTGTTTTGTCAATGACCGCGTATATAAACAGTACACTGTACTTCTAGTATTTTGAATGTCTTTTTGACCTTATCTTTTCCTTCTCAAAAGTGCCGACCTATATCAGAGGCCGTACTTCAATTAATACAAAATTAAGTAAAAGCAAATGTAATAAGAAATAATTACTGATTAAATAAATTTCAGTTTCTCGCTGAGATTTTTTTTGTAGGAGCACCATTGAATTCTTGTAATACGGCATCGACATGCGATACTGAATAATACCAATGCGACATCGTTTTTGCAATAAAAAATCAGTAGTGTCTGGCATTGATAGCAATTCAGCACTGTTTAGCATCGTCCGGGTACAGGCGTGCACCGATCTTTGCCAATGCCAGTGACACATGGCATGCCCATCACCCGTGCCAATCATTTTTTTTTTACGATAGCACATTGAATTTTTTTTTACAGGGTTTATTCACTTTTTCATTTTTTAGCTACTATTTCCACGTATTAGTTACTTTTTTCACCATTTTTTACTTAAAAAGTTACTTTTTTCGAAAGGGTTCCGACTTAAAATTGTTTTTTTTCTTCTTAGTGCTTTCAGATAAGTTCAAGGCATTTTCTGATTTCAAGGACGAATCTCGGTTCAATCATCGTTGAAAAAAATTGAACACGTTTGAGATACTCTATTTTTAATCCGATCCTCTAAATGAGTTTCCTCTTTATAAAAATACAATTACTTACTTTTCTACACGTTCAACTAATATTTTTTCTTCATTTTTAATCCAATCATATAAAACTAATCGTTGACATTGTCTATGACCTTTATAAATATCACATTGTAAATAAATTAATTTATTTTCTTGATTTGGTATAGAACGTGGATGTAGTCGACATAATTGATCAAACTCATTCAATTGTTTACATTCATTTTGTTTCCAATTACAATGAAAAAAAGCACTTGCTCGATTTTCACAATAAATTAATCCTAAAGATGACAAGACACGTTAAGTTTTTAAACTATATTCAAATGTATAATGGCAAATTCTAACCTAAGCGATATGGTTCAACTGGATAACCGATAAATATCACTTCATCTATACATTTTTCATTCCAAATTGCTTGACCCATATAAACATTTTTTGGTAAATTTTCAATTAATTTCACTTCTTTCTTTTCAACATCAAATAGACATACACAATTTAATTCAAATGATTCCATCTGTTCTCCCCAATTTTCTTGATAGAGATTTGGAGGATTAGAAATAGCATCATCCAATTTATCACAATTAAAATATGATTTAATGGGTTTACGTTTTTCTTCAGCAGTAAATATGAGATATTTTGAATCGGGTGACCATTCAAAGAATGAAGCTAAAATAGAAAAACTTTAGACCTTGATAATATCAAGTAATTATATTCTTTATTACCATAATCATTTTTTCCATTTATTTTTCCATGTGGTGATTGTTTGTCAATTTCATATGAGTGTACGAGATGATTTTTTTTTCCACAATTGAAAATATTGTATTTCTTGATCATTTTTTGTTTCTTTAACAACAGTTGCCAGATATTCATTATTGGGTGAGGATAAACGACGTACAATATTTTTCAAAAAATTCACATTACTTTCAAATAATACTTTTTTTTCATTCAACCAATATGTATAACTTTTTGTATAGGTTAAATCTTCTAATTTAGTTAAATCCATTGTAGCAAAATAGGGTGTTATTTGGAGAAAAATATTACTATTCGACTGTTCATCAATCTGACATGATTCAATATCAGCTAACGTTGGTTGTTCACCATAACATCGATAGGTTTCAATTGATTTTTTAATTAATCTTTTACGATGTTCATCTGCTTCGTTGACGGGTGTTGTTGTAGATGCTGCTGTTTCGTTTGACATTTTTGTTTTAAAAAAAATGTTACAGGTCTTTCGGATATCTAGAGCAAAAAAAAAGGATGACTAGTAGTAGTAGTTGAAAACGAACAAAAATTCTCTTTACATAGTGTAATCAAATTATTTGACAATCATTCTTCTCAGCGAAAGAATGTTGGAACTACAGCGATATCAGAAAAATTCAAGCAAAACTATTCAAAAAAACTAACATTAATTAGAATTTGTCTAAAAATAACAAAAAAGTTAACATTTTTATTGGATGGGAAAACGAAGTTTGAAGAGAGAATATTTCAATCATTCATGTGAGAACAGACAAAAATATTAATAATATTTTGACTATAACATCAAAGCGTTGGCTATTCAGTTATATAATCTTTTCCATTAGTTACGTTCTAAAGTCGTGTAATTGATCACCAACTACTTCTTTTCTCTTGGCATAGCAGTCACGATTGTATAGGACATGTATCGGTATTTAATCACTTTTTTAAAATTTCATCAACTCACACCATGTCTACGATTCATTTCCATAATAAAATCTTAAAGTAACTTGAATATTTAAAGGGATTGATTAACGTGACGAATAGCGGTATAAATAATACTAAATCAAACACCTTTTTCATTTTTCTAGTAAGATATTTCGACTTTCTTATCATAGCATTAGCAGTCCAATGGATAGTGCGCATGGTCACTCTAATATACTTCAGCAGAAAAATAGATTAAAAGAACGAAACAAAAATATGCATACACATTTCATTTTTCTACTATGCATAGTATGATTCATCAAAAAACATTAAAAACAAAGACTTTTTCTGAAAATCTTCATCGTTTTTTTCATTATGAATCACCATCCACAAGCTCTCTTTTATGTTCTGCTCTTTAACGTGTGAAATTCATGAGCAAAAGTTACAAGTTGCGAGTTAATTCTATGACTACTGACAAGTGTGCGAACTGCTACTGACTATCTGTATTCATAAAAGGGATCACGGTATTCTCCTTTTCGTATTTCACACCTCTTCTGTTTGTTCGATATAGTTGGTGTTATTAGCAATCGTATTTAAAGTCAGACCCTATAAATCCATCTTTTCACACGATTTGTTGTTCAAAAGTTGAACGATTTTTAATTTAAAAATTAACCTTTACTGGATGCGGAGACCACTTTTCGATGTAGTTTGTTACCACTACAGTCCGTGGTATGGGTCTGTCTTTAAATACGATTGCTGTGTGTATAACATCAGGTATATCGGACAAACAGTAAGAGGTGCGAAATACGAAAAGGAGAATACCGTGATCCCTT